GACGGCAAGACGACCGGAGGTGGACTCAGGTGCAATGGCTGATAAAACCAAACAGCCCATCTGAGCGTGCCGCACAAAACCGATTTCGCGTAAAATTTGCCCGGCTTTCACAAAAATGGGACTCAAATCTCACGTTTGTGAAGGCATCATATCGACAGTAAGAATGACCCACTTAAGCTGACCCTCAGTCCTCGAACCAGCCAGTGGCAGACACGGCTGAGCAGTCTGTCTCCGAGTAAGAAACGGTCGAAGCATGTTTAGTTGCTTACCGTTGACTTCACTGTTAGGATGGCCTAACGAACAGCCTTAGCAAGCAGTAGCTTGCAAGCTATAGCCGCACTCCAAGCAGGCTATCGATTGGCCTGCACGGGCAAACGTACACTAGCCGTCAATCGATCGATAATTCAGAATTCAAACTACAGTCATCCACTGAGCCAACAACCAATGGGACCGGCCACTATTTCAGAAGAGAATCTGATTGGTTCGTGGACCTATCTTACACACGTTCGTTTCCCTAAATTTGTTTTACCTCTAACACTCAAAGACTTCTACCTTCTGCCCACTTCTTGTTGTGTTCTCGCTCGGGGGCTCACATGAGGCGGTAGTTAGACGGCGAATATTTTGGCCTGGGCTCCGTTACAACAATTTGGCGACGCATTGCGCGGTGATATCTCGGCCTAGGCCTCTGTTACAAAAATTTGGCGACGCAGTACCCGAACTTATTTTGGCCATCTTCACAACACCATTGCTGACTATCATGAAGCAATTCCATGTGTAGCACCGTGGAATACTCGCTGTCTAACATGCAGCAAAACCATGTGTACGCAGATGATTGCATGGTCCCCGATGATCACATCGGACAGGAAGGCTATGGACGTCTCTGGCGGATTCCTCCAGCTCATGGACGAGCTTGAATGTGACGTTTCCTTTGATGGCGCTCAATTCAGAGGAACAGTTACCTACCCAACCGTCCGGAGCTTCGCTTAATTGGCTTGATTGGATCGAGAAACTCGGTCTCTTGGATATGCCACATAACCATTTGCAGTGGTGTGCATTCAACTTGGCCGAGTCTTGCCAAATCGAATCAGCTGGTGACAAAGTTGATGTCGACGATTCCACCTCCTGCCGAGGTACACAAGGAGGAGAATAAGGAGGAGGAGGAACCAGGAGAGAAAGCGCCAGTGGCTTCGGAGCCCCATCAACCACCTGGTCCGTCAACTCGCAGCGGCGCGCAAAAAAGACGTGGTGCCCCAACAAATTCCCCATCCTCTTCTCCCCCGACTGGCGCCGACTCCCTAAACCTCTCCACGAGGGACCCCAGTGCTAAAAGGGCACGAACTTCAGCCTCTAGGCGACCAAACCGGGAAGGAATACGAACGGTTCCGTCACAAGTGAACCCGCAGCTCAAATCTTACGATTTGTCCTCAGAGGGAATGTGTTAGGATGGCCTAACGAACGGCCTTAGCAAGCAGTAGCTTGCAAACCATAGCCGCATTCCAAGCAGGCTATCAATCGGCCTACACGGGCGAACGTACACAAGCCGTCAATCGATCGGTAGTTCAGAATTCAAACTACAGTCATCCACTGAGCCAACAACCAATGGGACCGGCCACTATTTCAGAAGAGAATCTGATTGGTTCGTGGACCTATCTTACACACGTTCGTTTTCCTAAATTTGTTGTACCTCGAACACTCAAAGACTTCTGCCTTCTGCCCACTTCTTGTTGTGTTT